AAAAAAAAACATTCAAAATTTTTAGTACTTTTTTTTAGATTTTTCCAGGTAACACTGACAAAAACACTGTTGTGACGAACAAGCTTGAAATACCAATCAAAGCCAGATATATTCGACTTATTGTGAAAGGGTTTAATGGGCATCCTACAATGAGAATGGAGCTTTATGGTTGTATGGAATTATCCCCTTAAAAAATAATATCACAACATATTATAAGTCCTGTATATCTACTCATAGAGCCGACCTTCCTTGTATACTCAATGCTATCCGCCATGACACCGCTTTGTGAACAGTAAGGTTAGGTCCTGGAACCTAAAGCTCATGTATGATCTAACAATCGTGTAATATACATAGTCGTCGTCAAGGATACACCAACTGCTTTCATAAGTATATTCTGMGGATAAACTAAATAAATTAAGAAAAATATTAAATGAATAAAAATGTCAGTAAACTGAGATGGAGCACTTTTAACATGATTGATTGGACGGGAACCCAAGCGATCCAGCGTTGTAGGGCAACCAGCAATCTTCGATGCTAAATAAGGCAAAGTATGAGCAAAGAAGCTGAGACCGAAATATGGTTCATAGGAAAAAGGAAATAGAGTGGCTAAATAAGAAAAAAAATATTTTAATATTTTTAAAACTATTTCCACGCACACTTTAATTGCTAGAATGGAAATAATAATATGCTAATGAAAATGACGTCAAGGCAGCTTCATTAGAAATACGAACTTTGAAGGAATCGCTTAAAATGGTTTCATGACACGCAAATTTGTCCTAGGCAATGTTCCAGATGGCGCTTTTGAAAACATTTTTGAGCTACTGTTCCAATATTTCACTATAATCAAGAACAACATAAACGCTATCCTAAACAAAAGAACTGAATTARTCTCAAAATGCCGACATAGAAATAAATTTCTCTTATGTAATACCCCTTAGGGATTTCCTTGATATAAATACGAGATGTGTAAGAATGTTCATTGTATATGTAGCCTGATGATTGTGTAACAACATGAAACTTATAGTCGCTACCCGCGTCATGTGTCTTTGATTCCGTTAACTCATACGTTCCAATATTTCATATATGTAATGAAGCATTCTTTGACGTCATTGTTATATCGTATTGTGAGTCTGAATCTTCATATCTCAATAATGCAGCACTGAAATGAAGAAATATTTTCTGCATTCGAATATCTATGTGTCATAGGCATTTTTTACTAATTTGAACATTCACAGCGAGATGTGTCCGTCGTAAGACTTCCATATATGGTTGTGCACGTAAACGACGCTGATGTACACTTAACAAATCGAAATCGCTTTTCTATGGTCTGTACGCTTATCGACGTTTCCTACGCTTCTCTTGTGTTCTCCCCACATACCGCGTGTTTTTATCAGAGTATAATACACGGAAAATATTGTCATTTCATNGCGTCATGTGTCTTTGATTCCGTTAACTCATACGTTCCAATATTTCATATATGTAATGAAGCATTCTTTGACGTCATTGTTATATCGTATTRTGAGTCTGAATCTTCATATCTCAATGATGCAGCACTGAAATGAAGAAATATTTTCAGCATTCGAATATCTATGTGTCATAGGCATTTTTTACTAATTTGAACATTCACAGCGAGATGTGTCCGTCGTAAGACTTCCATATATGGTTGTGCACGTAAACGACGCTGATGTACACTTAACAAATCGAAATCGCTTTTCTATGGTCTGTACGCTTATCGACGTTTCCTACGCTTCTCTTGTGTTCTCCCCACATACCGCGTGTTTTTATCAGAGTATAATACACGGAAAATATTGTCATTTCATCGGTCTGTCCTACGATCGACAACGGCTCTCGACCAATYAGCGCGCGAGAATTCTACAAGTTATGGTAAAAATAGAACGCGCTCATGTGCGTGCACACATGTCCAGAACTGGCCWATGATGTCCCTTGTTCCTTTGGTACTGCATCTCATGTTCCTTTGGAATACCCTGGATACTCCCTGCTTATCTCTTGCTATTCTCTCGTGTGTGTGTCTTTCCCGTCCCCTTGTCCCCAAGGAATCCCTTTGATAATCCCTTGCTATACTCTCTCGAATGTTTATCGAATTGACTTGCAATGTGTATATTGAGTGGTTATCGGTGTTGAATTTATCTCTTTACAAAACTGTTTCTTTGGAAACACTGTCGCAGCTCACACTAGTTTACTGCTAGTTCCCACCATACTGTAGGTAAGTAAATAGTAACATTTGGCTGGCACCTTTYTATAATCCATTCAAAAATGTTACGAATCAGAAAAGACAAAAGTAAGCGAAATTTGTTTTTCAGGCAAAATCGCATTCATTTGACAGAGTTTTCKTATATTTCAATCAAGACATAAGCTGAAATGGAATTTGGATAAAAGATTCAAATTTCATAGAAACAGTTTTACCATTGTTTTACTTATTTTATAGCTTGATGCTAGGAAGGCCTTAGAAATTATTACCATGGCGATCAGATCTAGTGATCGTTGTGATCTTCGACACTCCTATAAGCAGTATAGTAAGTAAGTCAAATATATTTCACTCAGATCGAGCCTCTTCAGTGACAGGTATGTGTGACTTTCCATAGCTTAGAAAACTTATGCGGACAAATATCACCTTCGGACGGGGGATATCGCCTGATACCTGTTCGCCGAAAATGTATCAAGTGACGCCTTTGGACCAATGGATGCGCGTGAAAAAAGTTGTTGGGATATAACAATGGACACTTTACTCGAATTAACTAAAATCAGGAGATTGCACACCAAAAGTCGTTGAGCTCACAATTCCTTGGCGTATCGTCTCTAATATGGTTTAAATTAAAGTTCACAGAAACTCACTGTTCAGCGTAAAGTAAACATTTTTGACGACATTGCATCAGCGAGAAGGTATTGGTTTTCTTTTTAACGGGTCCTTTTATAATTACTCCTTCTCGGCGAAAAACAGCCGCAGTTGAAACGGAAGATTTTGCAATGAAAAGCCAAATTCTCGCCATCCCTATAATTCTCATAATTTTCGAAAAAGGTGTGTATATAATTGTTTGCAAAAACAACGATTTTTAATTTACATATATGTCTTGGAAGTTTTCCAACCGAATCACTTTCCTTTCTTCCTCTCTTCCTTTCTATCTTTTTCCCTTTTAAGGAAAAAAAATACTCAAAACACTATAAAAATATGCTGCTTTTTATGCGTCGTGGAATTTGTAGTCCACAAAATTAAAATTGCCATGAAAACTAAGCTGTGATGTCACCTCTTGAGTTAAAAACTATATCTTAAAGTCTCCTATGCACCAAAAACAATGGATTGTTTTATATGTAAAAAATATATATTCCTACTCGAAAGGGGCCCACATCCTCCTGAATTTAATCAGGAAGCTAAGATTGTTACAATCGTACTCCACAAAATGGAAAACATAAGACGAAAAGATTGAAAACACCGGCTTTTTAATTAAAACTGATTTCTTAGTTTTAATCAATTAAAGTTGTTTAATTCGAAAAAGCGTCACTTAAGCCTWTTTTTATTAGAGCAATTTGAATATGGCAAATAATTACAAATTATTAACCTTTTCATAGTCATCATAAATTATGCATCGTCTAAACCCTTTCCTACATAGAAAACCTTACTAAGAGACTAAGTACGAAGAGACTAAGTACATATATATTTCACACTTTAAAGCTTTATAATATGGTTGAATAGAATGGTGCAATCTGGTTGGCTTAGAGAAGTGGTGTTTATCATTTAATAATGGTAATGCACAATTATATTCAACCATTTTATAAATAAATAATAGAATGCGATATTTGAAAATTCGAAAAAAATTTGATTCGTTCGTGAATTTTTTTTTTGGCAAGTTTGAAATATCACACGTGGTATTTATCCCAAAAAGTTACCACTACAAAAAATTGCTATTACCTATACAAATCATATGTATTCTTTAAAGCATCGGTGACTAGCATCAAATATTTATAAGCATAACAAATATTATCTTTCTATCTGATGAATAACTGTACTACACATGCAACACTCATCTGAGGTCACTGATAGGGGAGCCAAGAAAATTTAAAGCTTCTTGATTACTGTTGAAAAATTGTCCATATACCTTCAGAATGAAGAAGATAGCTCTAAGTCTCTGCGGCTTGCTATTGTTGAACTTGTTCGTGATCGATGCTCAATCTTTATGCAAGGTGGAATACATGTTGGAAACTCTTATCCTTCAAAACAACCTTTTGACGTCGTTATATGTCTCCAGTCRAGCACAATGCGAGATGAAATGCAGAGAGAACTCAGGATGCTTTAGCGTTAACTACTACGAGAAACAGAAGAAATGTCATCTCAACAATGCAACGCATCTTTCAAGACCTCTGCACCTCGTGTATGACATGGGAGGGATTTACACTAAGATAAAGAATGATTATTGCAGTGATGCATACTGCAGTACAGGACACATCTGTTTGATGGACAGCGCTACAGACGATTATATCTGTAAAGGTAAGTAGACACATCTTTCTACAGATGGAAACTTATGCGAGTGCACCGTGACCGCTTACACTAAACCGGCTAAAGGCGTTGTAGAGCAAACGCACGGAAACCATGAAATAAAACAAAACGAAGTATTAAAAAATTGCTGCTATTTAGAGACAATTTTTTTAGCATCAATGAACAACCAGAACACAATCAAGTTGAATCCACATGAGACCATTCTTAATCGTTGATTTGCATCGATTCATACTTTATTCTTCGTTTTCAAGTTACGTCACAAAGGCCATCTTCGAGGAACTTTAAAGTCCCATTTACTCATGCGATTTTTGCAGCGCGCTCATGTCGCGGCGATGGTCGCGCGACCATTGCCTGAGTTTCAGGCTTGAAATATATTTGCTACTCGCGTTGATTTTCGATCGCCGCAACAATCGCARACTGTAGAAGTGTAAATGGACCTTAACAAAGGAATTCTCTTTAGCATCTATTGTTTAGTCCTCAAMCATGRCCGCCAGTCTTTTATCTTTTTAATCTCATGGTAATTGTTKAAAATTGCCATGTGCAAACATAACAATTAAACAATCAATTAATACAATTCCGTAATTAATATCTGAGAATCTTTTTCTAGATTTCATTGCATTCCTTTTTTTTTTTTGCAAACCTACATAACTGATTTGACTAACGTCCCTCTTGAATGCCTTTTTATGTCCTTTGTAGCCTGCAATACTCCTCTTGGCTTAGAGTCAGGAACCATTCCAAACAACAGGATCTCTGCTTCCTCTTTCTGCTGTTCTATCGGCCACGAACCATGGCGAGGAAGACTCAGGATGCAACCCAAAATGCCGTACGGTGATGCAGATGTCGGTTGTTGGCAAGCTAAAAACCAGGTTGCTGGGGAATATCTGCAGGTGGATCTTGGGAGTGTTTACCGAGTTACAATGGTAGCCACCCAAGGTAGACCATACGCACATAGCACATGGATTACCTCATATAGTCTTTCTTATGCTCTTAATGACGGGAATTTCTCTGACTACAAGGTTGGCGGAGCACTCAAGGTTAGTAAACCTGGTTTCAATAAGATATTATCGGTAGTTACTATTGCTCAACAAACACTGTAAACTTGAGTGAAGTGTTCCTTTATACGAAAGTACCCTATTTTGTAGTACCCTCTGCCCTTGAGTCCTTTTTTTATCGATCGAGTAAAAATGCATTTTCTACAGGTCTTCGCTGGGAACACTGACCGCGACACTATCGTGACAAACGGTCTTCCAGAGTCAGTCAGGTGTCGCTATATTCGAATTGTTGCTGTTACTTTCTCTGAGTCTCCTGCACTGAGAGCCGAAGTCTACGGGTGCCCTGATGACTAAAAAACGATGTACAAGCAATAYCTAGATGGTGAAGTAAACCAAGATAGATAGATTGCTCCGACTCGTTGTAAGATGCAGGCGCCTAACTAGTCACATGAATATGGTATATATTTACTAATAATTAATGACATTAAAACAATAAAGCACCTATTTGGTAACATCAAGGACATGCAATTCGGTGCATRCACTCTATAATCCTAGTTGAAGTGCGACTTGAATGAAGAACTATTCTATGAGATAAACGGAATTTACTTATGCACWTTTTTACCATTTAGTTACAAAGAGATAGCACTGGCACTGATATTCTAATATATTAGAGAGAACTTAATTAGGAAACGAAATGTACAAAGTTAAATACAATTGACGTTGAGTGTATGCTTAAGTTTACGCTTATTCGTAAATAATTGTAGAGAATTGTTTGAATTAAGCATTCCAAATAACAGGATCTCTGCTTCCTCATGGGGTGCCGGCAACAAGCAATGGCGAGAACGACTCAGGACGCAAAACAAAACTGATCTWTACAAGCCAAATGTRGATAAATTAAGTGTTCTTCCTTGGTACGTAAGTACCCTATTTTGTAGTACCCTCTGCCCGTGAATCCTTTTTCATCGATCGAGTAGAAATGCCTTTTCTACAGGTCTTCCCTGGGAACACTAACCGTGACGTAATGTTTAAAGTCCKMCAATKMGGACTGGACGGGATTTCAAGTCCGCGTAATTGCAAGGACTTGAAATCCCRTCCAGTCCGAATTGGAGGACTTTGAACGACTTCTCATACTCATTAATTATTCTGGAGGGGTAAAAAGCGAARRGAATACATATAACACAAATATATTGATTTATTGCATCTCCACTAAGGTTTTCAGTTTTCATAATTTTGAATACATGAAGCACCGTTTGTTGTTCTTCAATTCCCGGACGGCTTTCTGAAACAAAAGCTATTCAAGTTGTCTTTGTYTGCTATTCATGGCATTCCTAATGAGCCTAATCCATAWRATTTATAAGTATGTTATCTTCSRAGGAATTGCATCAGAAACTCGGTGGTGTAATGGTATAAGACGGCGCATATAAGCGGGACGGTAAGGGGTCGAGTCGTGAGGGAGTCATGTATCAAAGGCCTTTTTTCACTAAATTAATGTTAAACTGATTATTTCTAATAATTTGATTATCATTAGCTAGTAGTAGTTGGAAACATGGTAGAAGTACCTGGAAACAAGGTCAGTAGAAATAGCTGGAAATAATGTAGAAGTAACTTGAGAAAGGTAGAAGTAACTGGAAATAAGGTAGAATACAAGGTACGAGTACTTCCTCTGGTTTCAAGTTCCTTCACGTGGTACAAATTTCAATCAGGGATTGGCTGGATACCTCATGAATAATTAACGAGTATGAGAAACTATTGTGACAAACGTTCTTCAAGAGTTAATCAGATGTCGCTATATTCGCTTTGTGGGTTGGTTCCTACTCCGCAATTCCTGCCTTGAGAGCTGAGGTCTATGGTTGCCCTGAAAACAATAATGTTCAGATAACTAGATGAAGAAGTAAAGTAAGATACATAGCTTCTACTTGCATGTGATTTGTCTGGAAGAAAG